ATTTGAAGTCTTACACTAACTGTGACAAAAATGCCTTCCGAGCAAACCTTGCACTGGTAACGTTGAGGCGCATTTTTGGCCAGTTTGACGGAAGAACTTTCCACACAATCTTCAATAGTTTCATCCGTCCCCATTTAGAGTACGGAAACATAGTACTCCCCCCTCACTCCAAAAGGACAAGGTCACTTTGGAGCGTATCCAACGGCGAGGCACGAAATCAGTTCGAGGACTCAAATCTAAGCCTTACGAAGAACGCCTCCGTTCACTAGACCTTTACCCACTAGAATATAGGCGTCTTAGAGGTGATTTATTAATGGCTTATAGTATTCTTAACACTTCTGGACATCCTCTTAAACACCTACTTAAGCTTAGTTCGAATAATAACCTAAGGGGTAACACCCAGAAACTGGAAACACAACATAGCAAGACGGAATGTAGACACAACTTCTACTCCTTAAGAGTTGTCAAAAGCTGGAATTCGCTGCCGGCCGAGCTAGTCCAAGCGACTTCTCAGGAGTCCTTTAAGAGGCAACTTGACCTATTCTTAAGGACCAAGGACAGCATCACACTATGATTTACCAATTTCTTTTCCTCTTTTATTGTTAACATACCTAGGTTCCTGCCTGGAGGATTTCGTGATCCCCTGCTACTAGACACGGAAGCCTGTTAAGCGAAAGCTTCTTCTATTCCGTCCACAACCATTTGAACCATTTGAACTTGCCTTTGTAATGGTTCAAATTTACTACTTGACCACAACTAACAATTCTCCTAGTATATGAACGCGCTACTTAATGTATATGCATTAAATATTTCTAGTATCACAATGTAGGTGCTACAGCAAACTTAAAAACAGTAACTTTTTTTAAAGTAGCAACACGAAAGTCTTTCATGAAAAGTGTAACACGGTAGCTATGAAGAATACTAAACAGAGATTTCGTTTTAAAACAGTTTCCTCCGAAATCGTTTATCTAGCATAAACAAACTTAGTTAAAATGGTACACATTACCATGAAAACTAACGGAACATTGCTTTGAGTAGCAACAAAGAATAAAGTGATATCGGAAAGATAACCGTACACGCAATTAGTTCATTAAAGAGTGATAAGTCGTAATACTGTAACAGGTAGAGCACGCCGAAAACTCCCCAAAGCATTTCATTGTATATTTTTGTCATTTTCCCTCTTGTCTTGCATCTTAACCTTTATCTAGTTCTCTGTTAACGGGCCATTGATAATAAGGTCGTGTTTGACCAAACTCAAGGTCTCGGTGACGTTCAACGCACGGCTGTCAACCTTCGATGTTCCGCTTGAAAAGGTTACATGGATGTTTGCAGATAGCCATCGGATCACATCTTGTCGGGAATATTTTTATTGACTTATAGGTATCAAACACTTTATTGTTAGCTATTCCTTTAGTTTTTATCACACTGGCTTGTGTTTTGTATAAGTCAGTACGAGTCACTCAAAAACGCTTCGTATTATACACAGAAGAACGTAATTTGGTTTAATCGAAAGCACTTTGCTTCGTTAGCTGTGCGTTCAAACAGAATATTGGTATTTTGGTAGTCGCAGCACGTACATGAAGTTTCCCAGTCTAACTATCGGTCAGCACACCTCAACTATCAGTAGATCCATTAAATTACTTACTTCTCTTAGAGGAATTAATGCAAGCGATTTTCTGCTTTTCTGCGCAACTGAAAAATACTTAAAAAGAACACAATCAGAATAACATTCTTGTAGGAAAAGGATCATTTGGAGTTACCAACAGTTTTACAGTCACTATTTATTACGTCGGATTATTACAAACTCAGCACTACAATACATCCTCAGCAATAAACTGTAGTAAGAAATTATTGAGTTTGAATTCATTTTTAGTAGTATAGTAATGTCTTATGGTATAACCGCAGATCGAAATAAATGATAATGAACATTAAAGACATGCCTTATTGAAGTAGTTACTCCTAACGGAACAAGCTACTTCAAAATATCGCGACGATGTTGCCATCCTTCGAAGATAGCGTGAAATAACTATCTTTTGTACTTTAACTCATATAAGTCGATCGGTTCACTTTAAATCATCATAAGTTTATCAGATTTTGTATTTAAGTGACTCCAGGCTTGCAACCTATGCAGACTAAAAGAATCAGGAGGAACTTGATCGTAATATATCATATCGCTTACAGTCCTCATCATTTCAGTAATTCAGCGTTAAATGATATTTATGAAGGTGTCAAGTTGTGATAGTGCCAAGGTTCATCTAAATTAGTTCAAGTTCCGTTGAGATCGAGTTATGTAAGTAATGTAACGGTAATGAAACATTTCTCTAAAGCAAGTGTTACTCCACGAATAATCTTCCTGTTATTTTGATGAATCTGCAATGGCTTGTCTTTGACAGGTCTAGCGTGGATGTACGTAATGAGTTGGTGTGTATGAATCTGGAAAATAGTAAGGGAGAAAAGTGGGCTAAAAGATCTGTAGACACAAACAACGAACTTAAATTTATTGGTTAAACTGAATGACAACAATTATTAATGATATAAGAGTGGAATTAATGACAATATGATAATCAAAACTAAAGGTTGGCGGGATAAGATTCCAAATGCATTTGCGCAAATCTGTTCCGGTTTGGAAATATAAGAGATACGTTACTGTAACCAACTCCTTTCTTCAGTTATGCAGACGTTGTTCCTGTGTAACGAATAGTTATTAATTCTTGTTTAGGTAGCATTCATAAGCTTTACAGAGTAAGACAAATAATGGATTCCAGTAACACACAGGCAATCATTCTCCGTAAGTTGGAGGTGAAGGGTAACCAAGTGCATCGGTTGATTACAAATTGTTGAAAAACGCAATCGCCTCAGCTTTAGTCAGGAACATTAGACTGTTCTCTTGCAGATCAAGTTAATCTGAAATGCCGAACGAAGACCAAACCAAGTGTAGGCCGTGGCGAACTATTTAGAGACAGCTTTTACCCAGGAGCCTCTTCTGGGAGAAGATTAGACCTAAATATGTCACGAAATCAGCTCCTCACTGTGTACTTTGATCAAAATACTTATCATCCTGAAATCGATAGCACAACCCAATGCTGCCCCTTTGAATATGATATTCGGTGTTTCACTTGACCACGGTAAGATGTCTATGGATTGGAAGGTCACCACTATCACTCCAGTTCACAAAATAGGACCAAAACAATCTCCATCAAACTACGAACTAGTAAACTTCACCGGAGTCCTAGTTGAAATACTGGAAAGAGTAATGAAAATGATTACGATTACATTTATAGAAACCAGAAACTTGTTGAACAGCGAACATCGTTTTGTGTAATGGTTATCTTGCACATCAAACTTCCATACAACAAGAGAGCATTGTGCAGAGGCCACATATAGTGGAAAATCAGTGGATGTTGTCCACGTAGACTTCAGAAAATTATTTAATACAGTGTGAAGAAGTAAACTACTTTTGAAGCCGGGAAATCTAGGAATCGCCGGACTACTTTGAGGAGTGAATCGAGGATTTTATGGCAGGTCGTAGATAGAAAGAATAAATTCCGAATACTCCTAGAGACTAGTACTTAGAGGAATATTGCAAGGCTTTATCCTAGGTTCTTTACTTTATATACTGTGTGAGTGAACGTTCAAGAATAGTTGAGTCCCCGTTGCTGTTATACTCTGATGATGTAAAAATCTGGCGATAAACAACGTGAGACGCAGATACATGGGCACTCCAAGTGAACTTAGTTCTGATAAGCTGGTATAAAGATTGGTTGACACCTACCAATGTGGCCAAGTGTGTCTACATGCACGCCGTAAGAACAAAGGCAGATAAAGCATAGGGGAAGAGTCAGTGCCTGTAGTCCAGTCTCACAGGGATCTTGGGGTGTCAGTGAGCCACGGTCTTCAGACCACCGGTAACAACCATTCAGTCGTGGCCTAGGGGTTCAGAACCCTATGGGCTTTAGGACGGACATATGCTGAGATACTAATAGTTTCACTATGGTATGCATAACCTTAGTGAGATCCAAACATGGAAATTGCGTTCATGCTGCAAGGCCCTATGTCAAGAGGTGACTCGGATATCCTGTGAAAAGTTCAGTGGGCGGCTATACAGGGAACTCTAGAACCCAAAGGTTTGACGTACAAGGAGGAGTTTTATACGATAGAACTCTTAACTTTTTCTTACGGCAGATTAAGAGGTGATCCGATTATGATGTAAAGAATACTAAATAATGATTTTGAAGCAGATAGTCAGCCAGTCAGCAACAACACAGAACTTAGTACGTACGTACATCAGTTCAAGTTGTCATACCACATTAACACAAAGATACAATTGTCGATTCAAATCCCGTAGTGGTAGAGGTAGTAATCGGAAACATTAGAATTCGAAGAGGTTATTTAAAGAGTATAATTCAGTGAAATAGATTTGGAAAGTAAAAAGAGACAAAGAGGATTCAGGAGATTAGAATTCGGGAGAACATAAAGAGTGGGTGCACCTGCGCACATCATTACAAACGATTTTGAGACATGTCATTTAAGGTCTACAACCACCAGTCGTTATTGTCCCGCGGATCCCAACCAGGTAGTTTACACCTATCATTATGACTTAGTCCACTTGTCAGTGACTTCATGGATTTGTGCTATGTTTTGATCTGGCCGCCACTAGCTTTCTTCCAACCTGGTATGTCCTCTCTTTTCCTCCTACCATATCAACACAATTCAGGGGATGAAGCGGATGAGTAAAATAGCCAAGAACGAACAAAATACTCGTGGCACACAGGTTTTCACACAGTGTTACCAAGTCTTGGAACCTGTTACCCGTAGAAATGGTGTCCACCCCACTATCTTGACTCATTCAAGAGAATAAACGCTGTCAGAAGCTCATTATGAAACGGATTACACAAACAGTATGTTCTCTGTTCTTAATACACAAATCAGAATCTAAAGTCCAGATTTGTATGTTGAAGATTTCTAGAGTGGAAACTTTGGATATTGCGTTACGTTGAACTATGATCGGCCGTCTCCCAGCCATCGTAATTGATAATGGCACAGGGTAAGGTTCACAAATCGTTAACTATCTAGTTTATAAAGATACTCTAAAATAGGTTATGCTGGGAACACAGAACCTCAGTCAATCATTCCTTCTTGCATTGCCGTAAAGGAATACAGTAAAGTTGGCACCAGAGAAGTTAGACGACTTGGAACTGGTTTAGATGATTTAAATTTCTTCATCGGAGATGAAGCACTCGCTCTTGAGGGAAAAAATGACTTCTCAGTGAAGGTGAGTTTTCATGAGCGCTCTGAAATTAACTGTCTATGAATACATATCAACCTAGGGAACTCACTTTTATTCGACTATAGGATCGATTTAAAATATCGCAACAAATGTATTCCGTTAACCTCAAAAGACAATGGTGCATCGCAGGGGAATACTTCGGCGTTATTTCAGGCTACCAAAGTAGTTCTCTCGAGGCTGACAGCGTCGCACTTATTAGTGCAGATTAGTTACATTATGATCCACGGTCGCTTAAGAGTGTTCATTCATAAGCTTTCGATCTTTCTAAAGATCGCCCCGCTGTTGGCCGCACTTTTTTAGTTTGTAGACTACTCGAAAACTGCTCTGGAGTACAAATTTATTACTTTTAACGTAATCTATTATTGGTTCCCAAGTTGTCTTATCAAGTTTTCTAATATTATGATCCCGTTTCTTGATAAGAATAAGAGATTCCGGGGTTTCCATATCTCACATAACACAAGTCATTCTCGAGCATATCTGGATCCACTTGTCGCCTCAAAATACTGTTTGGAAAGATGCTAGCACAGACTCAGAAAGCCCAGTTTGCTTTCGCTAACATGTGTTGGTTGTCACTTAGATGAAATGTCTGTCTGCCAACCAAAGAATAAATATACAGTGCGGCGGTTCGCCTACTTTATGGCTGCAACGAAGTAGACGACATTCATAGGCTACTAGTATTTGGTCATGGGTGTTTTCGAACTATTGCTCGTATGTATTAAGACCACTTACTAAACAATTCTAAGGCTATGCGCTCAGGAATAGGTTAAATTGTCAAGTCGGTGAGTGATACTGTTGTTTTTCATTAGTTGAGTTGGTTGAGACATGTGTTATATAAGTCGAATCACTTCATACCTTGATGTTCAGTTCACAGTAGACTTATGTTGAAAAACTAGAAGCTCTGAAGCCAAGAAGTGTCAGATAATGTAGTCATTAACTGTCGTTCAGTTTTCCCTGTAGATAAAAATGACCTGTTTGGTGTCCATACGATTATAATGACTGGTGATTGGAGACGTTAGGTGGCATAGGACAGATCCTTTTAGTGTTTGTCATCGTCTAGATTCCGACTTCCAACATTATTTCATATTTTTATTCCATGCGTTCATTCTTTTTCAATCATTATATATCTAATCTTTTACCGTTACTTACGCCTCTTATACTTTGGTATTCATTTTGACAATTTCATCTGTTCATTCTGTTGTGGTAGTTTAGACCAAAGCACATATGGGGAAGGTTCTACCTCGCTTGTGACTAATTTGCCGATAGTTGAATAAAGTATTTTCCACCTTTAAAGTCGTTCTTTCTAGTGTTAGCTATCTTGTTTGAAAATCGTGTTTGCATCGGTCTTCTAAACTCTGATAGATATAAGTAGCCTCTCAGTCAGACGATTGCCAAATCTAGCAGGAGTGGTGGAACATTACATAAATGCAATGTTTGTAAAATATCCTTCTATAGTAAACTTGCGGTTCTTGTCTGTGTTCTCGGAACGGTGGCCTATTTATAGTAAGACTGGATTTTCAACCACCGAGTTACAGACTTGGGTTTCAATCAGTTCCCTTCAGTTTCGATATCCCGGTAGTCACTGGTTGCATTACATTTACACTGTGACATTCAAATAATTTAATTCGTTTACCAAGTTTTGATTAATGTAATCAACTTCAATCCACTTTTTATTGAGGACATTGCTGTACCGGCTTTTATTAACCTTAAATTCATGTTTCATCTAGCCAAAGAATAAGCAAACAATTCATGTTTACCTTGTTACTTCCTGTTCTAAACGCACCGATAACCAACAATCAACAAGAATAAGTATTACGTTCTTCGTTGTCATAGAATAACATTTCAATATCCTTCCAGGTCCTCAGATTGAAAAATCACAACATCGGAATTTTATCAATTCAAGTTGTCTCGCTTCATAACAACAGAAATATTCTTACTGATTTTCAGACTATTCATATTCTATCACTAAATTGTTACAGTAACTAAGCCAAATTTTAAGTGCTGTCCACTTTGACTTTATTTTCATATATATTTGGACACGTATCATTGTTTACTGACAATAGAACCATACATTATACCAAACAGTGAATACAGTGTAGGAACAAAAGGGAAAAATTAAAGAGTAAAACTTGCAAAGCAAACATTTCGAATGATTCCACGTGAAATAAGATTGACTTCTCGCAAGATTACATCTTATTGTTTACGGGTTATTCGAGATTTAATTAAAGCAGAACTTTTATTTGTCTCATTTCTGATCTATGTTATGTATCGTTCCAAGTCATTAAATTTTGCGACCCTTCCTTGTTGACTGCTGATTTTTTAGGAGGAATGACAAGTAGCACATCAGTCATGACTGTATTCAAAGATGGTATTAGTCTAAAATCGGGTATTTACGTGAATTCTCATCATCCTATCTGCAAATAACAGATTTTTATTCACAGGTTTAACGATTCGTTTGAACCTAAACACCCATAGTGTAAACAGTCAGTTAGTATTAATCGCTTATACATCTCCAAAAGCATTCAAAATCCCTGACTTGGTCATCCATTTTTCTATTTAAAACCGCTGTTGTTGATCATTTTGTTTGGAAATTCATTTAAATGGTAGAAAGATTATCTTAGTTGTATTTAGGCTGAAATATGTCTATAGAAACTACCAAATTGTACTTTTTCTCGTCAGCTACTTTTCACTTTGATTGAACCTATTTACCTAGTTTTGAAATGGATAGCAACTGTGTCGGATTATTATCTGTTGGTATACTACCGCAATGTAGTCCTGGAGATGTTACAACTCGTTGAATAGAGATGTTAGAAAGAAGTCTTAACACAAAATCATTTTGTGTTCTCCTTAAACAGTAAGACTTAATTTTCATAGAAATCAAATCTGACATTGTTTAATATCCTTATCCTTGTTATTTTCCATTTCATGGCATTTTATAAGTTTTCTAGTAGTTCCGTTTATTTTCATGCCATCATTTGGATAGTCCTTGGGTTTTGGCTACTATTGAACGGAGAAATTCAGTTTCATCAGCCTTGATCAATAACTGACATATCCAGATCAAGGCAACCTTTTATTATTATTATTATTATTATTATTATTATTATTATTATTATTACGGTAGCAAGAACAACACATTACTATTCATTCCACCGTTAATATTCAAAATCTACATCAATTGATAAGGATAAATTAGAAGTGGGTCATAAGGCTGATGTAGGAAAACACTGTTGTGTCTGGAATCATAACTAAATACTATGAACGGTTAAAGCCTTAAACATACGATAATTTAAACTTATTATTATTTTCCATAATTTAGTGGCCTATTCGTCATGGTATTATTGAAGATTGGGACTTGATGCAACGTTACATGGAACAGCTTATTTTCAAACTACTTCGAGCAGAGCCTGAAGATCATTATTTTCTTTTGGTATGCTTTTTATTTTATTATTAAAAATAATCCTAGAATTTACGTTGATTAACATCAAATGTATTATTTTTTGAGGCAGTTGGTCCCTTTTATAAATTTCTACAGAGCAACGAGATCAGATCAGATCAGCCCCATCTTTTCATTGTGCTGTCGATATTATTTATTTATTTAAACATATAAACATTGATACAAAGAGGCACTGAAATATTTATGGACCACACAAATCATTGAGTTTGTGTGTAGGCTGGAATACTGTCCAGGTCCCCAAACCAAAGCTAATGGTTTTCCCAGAAGGCCATTCACCAAACCTTTGCCCCAGACGTCTAATCCATAAGACGGTGGAGGAACGTTAGTTGTTGCTGTCATACAGTGGCCATTGGCCAAGAACAGGTTTATGCGGCACTTGTTCTCTTATAATTGTGATGCCTATATGCACGACTAATTTCGAATCAGGGTTTTCCAACTCCACTAGGTGAATTCTCCGTACCCATTAACCAGGTTTGGGTGCCGGACCTTTACTTCCCGTCTTTTCAATTTGATAATCAATATTCCAACCACGAAAAGACAGCAAGTAGAACTTCTCTGGCTGTAATTATATACGCGTGGCCGTATGTTAGCATTTCGAAGAAGAGGGTGGTTTCTCTCCACTTTCGGGCGCATTTGGGGGGCAAAAGTATATGGAACGCTTCACAATTTTGTATGTCATCCTTGTCCAGGGGTTTGTTAATTTTTTCTGTATCGTCCCAATTTTAGTATATGTACCACTGAACCGACCATACGAAGTTGACATCAAATTAAGATCCATGTATCTACGTAGATTTTTCAAGTATTCACCTGGAGACCAAAAAACGTATCTAAAAACCTTAACTTCTAATGACAAAAGGAAAGGTTTGAGAAAAAGAAAATAACTGTTATTTGATAAACACTCCGTCACCATGTCAAAAAAGTCTAATCACACTCGTTGTGTTTACATAGGTTAGCTCATAGGTAGCGACGGAATGCGCTTCCTGGATCCCACTGCTAGCCACCATCCAGCTTTGCTTTTAATGTTAAGTAGTAGTTTGAGCCTTTGGCTCCTTCGTTACAGGTTGACCAACTATGTGTGCTAACAAGGCACATGTATCTAAACTGATACATAACAAATGTTTTTTGTCATTTGAATGATCTGACTGAGCAGGTGTGTATGATAGTCTGTATGTGTCTATATACTTGCTTATCTTTCTTTCCTATAAATGCTGAGTCTAATTTTAATGACATTGGATAGGCTTGTGTGCCTTCTCCGATGTGTGTCTTCCATTATCTTTCCGCATTTATGGGTATCTGAAATATTATATGTGCCTGAAAACACTGTCTCATTCGACTTTTGATATACCGTTATTCCAAACCTTTTAAGTCGACAGAACATATGTGAAGTCAAGTTGGATATGTATTTCATTAACGTCAACATCCACTGATTCTAATGTAGTCAAACAGAGGGCATTCAACCGTTATATAAATATAAATATACAATAAAAATGAATTTTGTGCAAAATGAAGTGCGGTCTTAATTATCACTGATAACTGACTTTTCTAGCCACATATGTGTATTTATCTTTCTATAATGTTTTCCACCGTTAAATTCCTGTCGACAAACTATTCAGCCATATGTAGCTGGTCAAACAAAAAGCATTATCCAAGTGCAATATTAAGAGTTAGATGCGTGGTGATTTGATCGTTAATACAGTCAAAGTTTATCCGTTCTTTTTGTGGTTAAAGTAAGTCCCACTACATCATATATGGTAGTCCTAGTACAATAAAAATTGAAATCAAATCTTTCTCTCTAGTTTTTTCCTCTTTTCTCAACCTTATTGTTTGGTTTGTTTGTTTTCTAGACAGAACCACCATTGAATACACCAGAAAATCGTGAATACTTAGCTGAAATCATGTTTGAAACGTTTAACATTCCTGGTCTTTATATTGCTGTACAGGTAAGATGTTCTTTAACATTATCCTTTCTATATGTCTATAGATCTTTGTTGAGGAATTTTGATTTATGGGATCTATGCTAAGTTCGTACTGTTAATGTAACAAGATTTCGAAAACGATTGATAGTAGTAAAAAGAAACTCTTTAGTTTGATGAATGTATCATTCATTATCTATATCAACTCATGCTTCATTGAAAAAACATCTATACCCTTTAGAGTTTTGGATGTTTAGTATTCAATATTGCAAGAGTTCCTAATATATTAGCTCCGTATTTTGAAGGCCTTAATGTGGGACTTAATCCATGTGGCGAGATGAAGTGTGCTGCTTTTAGGCCTAGTCTTTTTAACCCCGTCCTTCTGTTATGTAAAGACATCATCTCTGTAGATACCGGTTGTCTAAGGGCAGCACCCTGATGCGTCGCACCCCTGTGAAGGTAACACCAAGACTTCACCTTTGGATATCAAGTTGTTGCTTTTAATCGTCTTCAGTCGATCTGTCTGGCATGATAGAAATTAATGGAACATGTGCCCCTGTTGTTACCTTGCCCTATTAATTATCACGTGGCTAAATCGTCAATTAGAACACGACTTAAATGACCCTGGCACTGTACTAAACCAATGACGCGTTAAGTGATACTAGCGGTTTAGAGTTAACTATGAGTCCATATTGGTTCTTTTTGTCCAGCCCTATCCATTTGCGTCCAGAACACAATCACAACTTCTACTGTATGAATAATGTATTTCAGACATACGCAGTTTATATACGAGCAAATCAGACCTTATCATACCATATAATAGAATATAACAAATATACGAGATCAGGCCAAAAGTATCTGTCAGTGTGAGATCCTGTAACTAATAGATTGGGGATAACTTAAGAAAGTAAATCGTATAATAGTAATCTATAGGTCAAATTGAAGTTTATAATAAAAGGAATATGAATATACATATAATATAATTACTTAGTAGTTATCCAGTAAAAAATACACGTAATAATAGTCCATAAACGGTTCATAGCAGTTACCATTCATTTATTTTCCGTTAGGATATAACCACTATAACTCCATTGGGTCATTAGTGCACATAAGCCTTATCACTATTCCAAGGTAGTAATCGTGGTCGGGAGCAAAAAGCTGTTTGTTATCATTAACTCTCACTGAGAAATGTAAATCTATGATTGGTTTGTCAACGTACAATAAGTATAAAAATATGTATATGAACACACTAATCAATAGGTTTCGATTAATACTGAAAACTAGATCATGTCTTTTTCATTCCGCGACCAATCCCTTCATTACGCTTGATCTTACATAGAGTTAATTTTCCGTTTTACAAGCTTTTAACTGATGTATTTTAAGCTATGGGAATTTAATAAATTTAGGAAGTGAAACCCGCTTGTGGCTCTTCTAGGGTTACTACCTGTCTCAAGCCTGGGATAAGGAGAAGGGTTTGGCATGGGGTCACCAACCCTATTTCGTAGGAAACAACCTTGCTAAAACAATGCTAGTCAGAAAATATCGTTTAAGCAATTTAAACTCTTCTCTAGGAGTTGAAAGATCTCCATCTAGATTAGTTATGACGTCTCATGCTGAAGGCCAAGATTCTTCGGAAGTTACGAGGTCAGTGCCCTTCTAACACCCAGAGCAACAATTATAATAGGTACATGGAATGTCCGGACGATGTGGGAGGTCGGGACGACCAATCAAATAGATAGAGAAATGAGGAGATATGACTTGGGGGTGCTCGGAGTAAGTGAAACCTACTAGACCCAAGCTGGACCGAAAAGATTAAATTCTGAAGAGATGTATTTGTACTCTGGTTATGAAGACATAAGTGCTTTGCACATACAGGGAGCTTCAGTGATACTGTCCAAAAAAGCACGTAAAGCACTTATAGGATGGGAATCTCATAGATGCAGGATCATCAAAGCATTCTTCAAAACAAACAAGGGAATCATAATGAATGTTATCCACTGTTATGCACCCACCAATCATAGTAACGATGACGATAATGATCAATTTTGCGAGAGGCTGCAATCAGCCGCAGCGAAGTTCTCAGGAAAAGGCCTGACCATCTCGATGTAAGATCTAAACGCCAATGTCGTAATGGACAATACCGGGTCTGAAGATATCATGGGGCGACGTGAACTGAGGGAAAGGAACTAGAATGGTGATACGTTTACAAATTTATGTGCACCCAATAAAGTGGTTATAAGCAGCACAATATTACCTCACAAATGTATACACAAACCTACATGGGTCTCATCAGGTCACACCATGGAAAACCAGATCTATCATATTTGCATCACTAAAAAATTCTAAACGGCAATGGAAGACATGAGAACCAGGAGTGTAGCTGACATAGCTTCAGATCACCATCTGATGGTTGTCACGATGAAATTGAAGTTAAAAAAGCATTGGGCAACTGGGAAAACAGCACTACAAAGGTTCAATACGACCTTCCTTCGAGATACCGACAAAATCAACGAGTTCAAGATAATTCTCAACAACAGGTTCCAAGCCTTACAAGATCTGCTCGAAGAAGATAATACTGCTATGGACAACGATTAAAAAGTGATCAAAAAAGCACTAACTTCAACGTGTCTGGAGGTTCTGGGCCGCAAAAAAGCATCATCATAAGGAATGGATCTCCATAGAAACCCTGGATAAGATTCAAAAAAGGAAGACAGCAAATAAAATCACTCGAACATGAACAGAGAAAGTCAAGGCACAGGCCGAATACACAGAAGCAAACAAGCAAGTGAAGAGGAGCATTAGAGCTGACAAGCAGAAATATATGGAAAAAAGCTTCAAAAGAAGGAAATATGAGACAACTACATGACACAACAAAGAAGCCGGCAGAGGAATATAGTCAACCAGAGACCAGTCAAGAACAGAGGAACAGACGGGTAGAACGCTTTAAGGGACTCTTGAATAGACCAGCTGCATTGAATTAACTGGAAATCGAAGCAGCACCTACAGACCTTCCCATTATTTCACTCCACCAAATATCGAGGAAATTAGTACGGCCATTAAACAAATCAAGCGTGGAAAAGCAGCAGGACCATACGACATAGCTTAAATACTGAAGTCAAACATAGGAATGACTACAAATGTGATCCATGTTCTATTCAGGAGGATTTGGGAGGAAGAACAGGTACCGATATACTGGAAAGAAGGATGCCTCATAAAGATACCAAAGAAAGGAGATCTGGGCAAATGTGAGAACTACAGAGGTATCACACTACTATCGGTGCCTGGAAAAGTTTTCAATATTGTTGTTGAACCGGATGAAAGATTCAGTAGACGCCCAACTTCGTGATCAACAGGCTAAATTTCATAAGAATCGGTCGTGCACAGACCTAGCTCTTCTATCTCATATACACCAGCAAATGCAGGTTAAGACAGTCATTGTATCAGCAGCCTCTTCAGCAATAGGCCTCAACAAACACAAGGGCGAAAGCAAGATCCTCAAATACAACACAGAGAACACCAACTCAATCATACTTGATGAAGAAGTCCTGAAAGAGGTTGAAACTTTCATGTAGCTGGCTAGCATCATCGATTAACAAGAAGGATTGATAAAGGTGTAAGGGCATGGATTTCCGAAGAAAGGGCAACATTCCTAAAATTGAAGAATATATGGAACTCAAAACAACTTTCAGCCAACATCAACATCAGAATCCTCAATACGAACGTCAAGACAGTCCTACTATACGGAACTGAGACTTGGAGAACTACCGCAACCAACACCAAAATGTACAAGCATTTATAAATAGTTGTCTACTCAAGATATTCAACATCCGTTCGCCGGATACCATCAGCAACAGCCTACTGTGTGAGAGGAAAAACCAGGTTCCGGATGAAGAAGAAATTAGTAAAAGACGTTGGAAGTGAATAGGACATACATGGATAAAGTCACCAAACTGCATCACGAGGCAAGCACTAAGTTGGAATCGTGAAGGGAAACGGAAAAGAAAAAGTCCACTGAACAGATTGTGTCGAGAATTGGAAGCAAATATCGAAAGGATGAATAACAACTGGAAAGGATTGCCCAGTACGGAGTTCGACGGAGAATACTGATGGGTGGCCTATCCTTTTTCACGAGGGGTAACAGGTGTAAGTGAAACGTGAACTCCCATGCTACTGATATATGTTAATAACATATCAGTAAACATGATCCCCATATAAAGGATGTACTTTCACTTGCATATATCACAAATTGAATTCCTGGTGTTTTAACAATTTTTTTGGTAGGGTCGCTGGTATTTTTTACTTCAATCTCTGTGTTAATTTTACAGGCTGTATTAGCGTTGTCAGCTTCATGGTGTTCTAATCGAACTGGCAGTCGTTCACTTACTGGAACGGTTATCGATTCAGGTGACGGTGTTACTCATGTGATTCCTGTAGTCGACGGTTATGTCATTGGATCTTGTATTAAACATATACCAATAGCTGGACGTGACATTACTTCTTTCATTCAACACCTGCTTAGAGAACGTGAAAATAACATCCCACCAGAACTGAGCATGGAGGTTGCTAAACAAATTAAAGAACGGTTAGTTTCAAATATTTTTCGACATCCATCTACCTAATGTCATTCAATAGCATAAGATTGCAGCACTAAATAATCTCTACAACTTGCTGTACTAAAATATTGTCAAATACTTGTTATTGACTAACTTTTAGAGTTAATTCCCAGAGTTATAGTGATAAGCTACGTCTAGCAGGGTTCAACTATGTTGGGCATGAGGAGAGGTGGTCAATAAAAACGATGAAAAGTGATCGCGCAATATCACTGTTGATTAAAACAAGGCCTTTGCATAACTGGATACCGTATCAGTGTTTTAGAGGTTAAGTGTTTGCGCGTGATATCGAATGTCCTGGTTTCGACTCCCCGATGCTGGGCTGTAAATGAGCACCACTGAGGAGTTCTATACCAGGACAAAGTAGCTGTCCAATGCTTCTAGGTTTTCAATGGGTCTCTAACTTAGATCGGTTTGGGATCTCAATGAAATTAAACAACCCCATGCTGAATATTCTTTTTACTTTGTTTTAATCATCGGTGATGATAGATTTCCAATTCATTTATTTGTTTAATACGCATAAAGTCTGCTACAACTGGGCACTGATAATGTATGTCATGGAAATAAAGATAAGAAATTGTCGATTATCATATTTATGGATGGGATGAAATACTTCTCACTTGTCTAGACAGAGGATAGTTTTCGTAGGGAGTCACTCTTAAACTTTTAAACTTGTCAGTTAGTCAGCTACAACGTAGGACCAGGCACATATATGTATCGGTCCAAGTTGCCATACCTCATTAACACAACAAGATGAACACCGGATTCATATAAGCGGTTAATTCAGAGGTGGTAATATATAAAAGAAAGATTGCAATAAGGATGTAGTACAGGAAGAAAGAATTAGTTCGTAGAAAGAAATATATGAAGTGATTTTAATCTCTTTATTTAAGAGAAGACAGAGAGTGTATACACCGACGCCATTGTGATCGATTCTGAGCCATGTCACCAAGAGTCTCCATCCATTAGTTATGATAATCACGCGGACCCCAACCAAGTAATCTGCATCTCTCAACATGGCTCAGACTAGAAGTTAGTGACTTCAAGCACTGATGCCACGTTTTGGTTTGGCCGCCCCTAATTTTCTTCCAACCATCCCCTACACTAGTCAGCATTGTGAGTTGTGGTAATTGGTGTTCAGGCATACGCAACACGTGCCCCAACCATCTCAGTCGATGAAGATTCACAACCTCATCAACTGGTTTACCATCATCATTCTCTAATACCCTGCGTCTAATCTCACTATTACTTACCCAGTGATCCCAGCAGATGTTAGCAATGTTTCTAAGGCATCTGTGGTCAAATACTAGTAGCTTACGAGTATCTTCTACTTTTAATGGCCACGTTTCGCAGCCGCAGTTTACTCATCCCTTAACTGATAGAGGGATATCTCACCTCTTTTAAACTTAAGGTTTAATCCATAAAGCAACTTTAGAAAACTTAGTCAACAATAACCATTGACCAAATTAGTTTCATATACTATTCATCTCCTTCAACTCCTGAATTTCATGTATATCATCTGCTTTGAAATCAGACTTTTTCAATTGTTCTACTTGAAACTTTCGTATCTACCAATTTGATCTAATCATTGAACGTTCAATTTTCTACTGATTTAATTAAGTAGTATCATTAATACTAAGTCAAAATTAAATTATATATATATATATATATATATATATATATCACAAATTGAAATCATGAGTCAATTGAAACTAGACCACCATGGAAAACCTGGAAGCACTGGACGGCCGTTTCGTCCCAGTATGGGACTCCTCAGCAGTGCGCACCCACGACCCCGCACCCCGCAAGATTCAAACCCAGGACCTGTCAGTCTCGCGCCAGGCGCTTAACTAACTAGACCACTGAGTTGGCATCCAACGGTGTTCATGTCTAACTTCAACCAGTGCTTCCAGGTTTTCCATGGTGGTCTAGCTTCAATTGACTCATGATTTCAATCTGTGAAATTTCTAAAATCTCCACATACCCCTTCTGATACATATATATATCAATATTCTTCTTATTTCTCCATATTTTTCTTTTAGTTATTCATATGTTTGTCCTGATTTACCTAAAGAATTTGCTAAATATGATAGTGAACCAGATAAATGGATTAAACCACATCTTGTATCTAAATCAGCTAAATATCCATCATTTTCTGTTGATGTCGGTTATGAACGTTTCTTAGGTCCAGAAATATTTTTTCAACCTGAAGTATGTTCAATTCTTTATGATAATTTATTCTTCTTTTTTTTAAGTTATTTTATTATATAAAAAGCTTTAATGGTAATGATGACCTCCTTTATAATCAATTTTAAAGAGAATAGTATTATTATTACAAGACATATATATGATTTAGATGATTAGTTTTTCTTAGATCAATAATGATTTGTTGTTTTTCATTGATGTTATAAGTTATGACTTGAATACCTTGCTTAATGTAGAACGTAATGATACCGCCAATTAGGAAGCAGTGAATTATCGATCGGATCAATGACGCCTAAAACTCGTACGAGTAGTCTAGAGTACTACTTATCGGTTCTGCTTCCTGCCTAACACAGCCTGTTAAGTTTAGAACACCAATCTCAGCCTCTGCGCGATATGAATCATTTATTTCAAACATACTCGGTTCATATACCAACCAGACAGATCACACTGTACCATAAAATAGGAAACAATATTTATACAATATTTGGGGGGACTGAAATGAATAGACTGGGCATAATTCAAGAGTGGTAAATCGTATAATAATAGTTGGTAGGTCAAAATAAAGCTCATAATAAGAGGGACATGAATATGAACAGTTTAGTTATTTAGCAATTATACGGTAAAAATATACGTATAGTACTAGTCCATAAATGAATCCGACGATGCCCTAATACGGGAATGCATCTGCTTGCGCCTCACTGGACCCAAACAAGCCACATTAAAAAGACCCATTAGAACTGAATTGAGTAACAAGGAAACCAAAAGTAGGTTCCAGGAACAACTGAGGTCACACTTAGGTAGTTCTGAAAACGAGGCTGACCCAGATATTGCTTGGAAAGATATACAAACAGCTATGGAAACAGTAGTGACATCTATTAGCGATTTAAACCACAAGGTTACAAAGAACCAATGGATTTCTTCAAGGTCTATTGCACTGATGGATTCTCGTAAACTCATCCCATCAGGTTCTGAACACGATGAAGAGCGTAAACAAATCAGATCTAAGTTAAGCAAAAGTCTAAGGAACGACCGTGAGCAGTGGTGGGCACGAAAGCAAAAGAGATGGAAAAGGCGGCGACTATAGGGAACACAAGACAGCTCTACAGACTAATAAAAGAAACTGGAATTAATAAGTCACGTGTAAGTCAGACCAAAACGTGACATCAGTGTTTAAAGACATTAACTTCTAGTCTGAGCCATGTTGATAGATGTAGACTACTTGTTTAGGGTCCGCGTGACTATCGTAACCAATGGTTGGAGACTCTTGGTGACATGGCTCAGAATCGATCACAATGGCGTAGGTGTATACACTATCTGTTTTCCCTTAAACTAAGAGATTAGAATCACTTCATATCTTTCTTTCTACGAACTAATTCTTTCTTCCTGTATTATGTCCTTATATGCAATCTTTCTTTTATATATTACCACCATTGAATTAACCACTCCTATGAATTTGGTGTTCATCTTGCTGTGCTAATGAGGTATGGCAACTTGGACCGATACATATATGTGCCTGGTCCTACATTGTAGCTGAATGACTGATAAATGGATCCCAAGGTTACCAGTCATTATGCTTATCGGGACGTAACAACTGAATACCTAATATTATACTGAACTAATACTCAATTGAAGATAACCAATTTCTTTTTTTTTTCAATATTAAATTACACAATTGTTTTGTGATAATCCATACATTAAATACTTCATTTGCAAATGTTCCTTTATTATTATTACGATTACTCTCTGTTTACATTTCCATTCTCTTCAATTCGATTCTTTCAAACTTCTGCTACTAGGCATTTCACTTCTGATTGGTGTTAAATACTAATTATGTCGACAGACATAAGTAGTGTATACCACAGTATGACTTTGAGTCTACTATTCTTGAACCAATCATACTGATGATTTGATTCATTAACGTGATAGTGTTAATGCTTTTCAGCCCACTCAGGATTCCTCGAAGCTCTAGGCACTAATCACAATACAAAAGAAAGCCAAACGATGTACTGTTAACCTTAAACACAGATTATTTACTAAGCTACTGAATTCAAGTAACTATTCACTTGTTCAACAACAGGTATGATGTTTCTAGAATCTCAGTAAAACTGATCATCTCCCCTATTGAACAACTAATCAAAACTCAATCTTAAATATTCACAGTGGAATGATTCAAGCCTGTACTAATAATGATGTTAGGTTAACTAAATGTTAAATGGTTAATTTATGCATAAACTTGTTTAGATTATTAATTATGTTGCGGACCGAGTAGTCCATTTTGTTGGATTAGTTCAATATTTTCAATGTATATCAGTTATGAGATAGTAACTCACTGATGACAATGGTGGATGTGTCGCTCAATTTCGTGGGTTGGTTGAAATTAGACATTAACATCCGTTGGATGCTAGCTCAGTGTTCTAGTAGTTAGGCGCTCGCGCGCGAGACTGATAGGCTCCGCGTTCGGATCCTACGAGGTGGGCTCGTGGATGCACGCTGCTGAGGAGTCCTACAATGTAACGAAACGCCTGTCCAGTGCTTCCAGGTTTTCCATGTTGGTCTAGCTTCAATTAACTCATGATCTCAACCATTTTAATTACTACAATCTCCACAAAACGCCTTCTGATATTTATTATTTATTTTATTTTCTAGTTTGTTAATCCAGACTTTACAACTTCATTAAGTGATGTAGTCGATGAAGTAATTCAAAAATCACCAATTGATTCACGTCGTGGACTTTATGGTGTAAGTTGATAATAATAATAAATCTATTTTATTTGGTTAATCTGTTGTCTCGGAAGTCCTACTCGATCTAATTTTTTTATTGTTTAACAAGGAGTATTTTTTGCATTAGAAAACTGATCTCCCCGGTGGGATTCGAGCCTACTGTATTCAAAATAATATCATAATCATAGATGTTACGATTATTTTTCAGTTTGGAAGCTTCTTAAATGTTTTTCTCGGTCTCTGACATTATCTGGATATTCCATATAGCTATCACAATTATTACTTTGATTGTCAGAAAGGGCATCGACCTCGTAATTTTCTGAAGAATCTTGGCTTTCACCATGAGACGTCATAAATAAAAATCCTTCAACTCCTAGGGCAGATTCTAAATGGTTTAAACGATATTTTCTGGTTAGCACTGTCTTAGCAAATGAGGTTGCTAACCTCGTGCCCAACCCTCCCCCTTTATCCAGGCTTGGGGTCGGCGATAACCCTAGAATGGCCCTAGGCGGGTTCGTCTTGTCATTGATTCACAAATTTAATGTTAGTTTGATTTAATGAACCTAATACCCCAGCCACATTCTAAATGTGAGGACTAACGATACTACTAACTAGTTGCCCCCAATCCGAGGTACGTGGATCATAGTTAAAACCCGTGACTTACTAGCTGAAAATCGAACGCTATGAACACTACATCACTGCTTCGCCTAAAAGAATTTAATACATAGAAGAAAACAAGATTAATTGATTAGTTTGTTTATTATATTCATTGCATAATATTTCTATCGTATTAACTGAAAGGAATTCATTCTCTGTGTGTATGTGTATGTGTGTACTCATGTGTTTGGGTTACAAAATGATACGCGCTCACTTAATCACTTACTCGCACACTCAATCATTTTTGAGAAATAGAGAATACAGAGAACATTTGACAAATTTCTACTTTTAAGGTTAATAGTTTTAATCAATATGATATAAATTCATTACTGATTGATATCAACTATGAAAGAGGTTTTGGAAACGAGATCTATGGGTTTGAATCCTTATTTCCATTGAATTCAATTGAAACAGTCGAATAGTTGAACCAATCGCCGTACTACAAAAACAGTCAAGTATATAAACTTGGGAAAAATTTCATCTGAAGCCATTTTAGGGGTTGCTCCTAGTCCTAAGCCTGAATAAAACGAGGTTTGAAGATGGGATTAACAACCTTATCTCGTAAAATAAAGAAGCTTGCTAAGAGTAAAGTGCTAATCAGGAAATGTCACTAGAATACTCAGTGAATGAACTATGTTAGCGAGTGCTCGTTTACAAAATTATACTCAAGACCTGTAGATCATGTGTGATTGTGTGGTCACGATTGCTTCATATACCACCATTGAGTTTAAGATTCAATACCTAGACCTTACTACTTATAAAATTAAAAAGTATCTAATCCGTAATATTAATGTTTAATCTTATATTCGATGTTTAAATTGACTGATTAGTTGGCTCATATCAAATTTACTATTAAGGCACGCTCGTTTGTTTTTGTTAGTGAGATAGACACCATCACACATGCTGAATTTAGTCGATATCCATTTTGTGCACACATAAATATAGAGAGCGTAATACTTAAAACTATTGGGGAATTTCAGAGCACTCAGGAAGTCCTTAGGGTGCCAGAGAACTCTGGGAGACTTTTTATGCAATCAGCGTTGAGTAGAAGCCTCTCACAAACATCTAGAAAATCGAGAGTCATGTTTCTGATTGGACATTTACATATCATGCTACTATATTTAGTAGGGTTCCGAAAACTCCCATAAGTCTAAGGTCATCTGTAATACCATAAATACCCTCGTTTTTTTCTGTACATAAACTAACCTTTGAGTAAAGCGTTCTTTTCACACTTCGTACCTTTTCCTTGTCGTCAATCTGGTGTGTAAACTTAGCCTGGACTTACCAGTAGGGTCTAGGGAATCAAATCAAGCGCTCAAATAAAAGACTTATCAAAAACTTTCAACTCCCAATATCTAAGTCATACGTTGAAAAAATTCACCCATCCTCTGTGGTTTCAGAAGTTGAATAGTGTGGCCTTAAATCGAATACATAAACGTGTCTATAATAAATAAATTGTGCTTAATGATTTACGTATGAGAGGTATATTTAATTCAAACAACTGTCATCGTCTGTTTGTTGTTTGTCTCCAATGTTCTTTCTTCATGGCTTATTGTAATAGTTAGTCAATTATAATCAACGAAGAGCCTGGTACAAACAAGCATCACATCATATCAGCTTGACTAGGTGAAATTAACGTAGTTAACAGCAAATGAGTGGAATTAATCTTAGTACCGATAATGATGAGAAAAACTTAACATTAAGAATGTGATTTGAAAAGACGAAATGGAAACAATGTGTATGAAGGGACTACCCTGACGTGCGATGTTTTATGGTTTTGGAGTAGGTTGGAAAACAGCTATTGGTTGCCAGACCAAAACATGGCGCAAATCCATGAAGTCACTGACAGTTGGACTGAGCCATGTTGGTGGGTGTAGACTACCTGGTTGGGATCCGCGAGCCGATAGCAACAGATGGTTAGAGACCTTGAATGACATGGCTCAAAATCGTTTGCACATAAACATTGGTACAACGAGGCACCAACTACATATTCGCCGCATAAATCATTCTATTTATGTGAGGGCTAAGATACTGTTCGGGTGCCCGAACTGGAGCAAGCGGATTTCTTAGAGGGTCGCACCCTGAGACTTCGACCTAAAGGCTTGATCCACAAGGCAGTGAAGCAAAGTCTATATACAGTATCATCATAGCCGGTGACCAACAGTATGTTCATACCCCATTTGTTTCCTTAGGATCCTGGATACCATCTACACCATTGGTTTATAATCAGGGTTTTCCAACTCTCCTAGGTGAATTCTCTGTATCCACTAACCAGGTTAAGGCGCCGGGCACTCGCTTTTCATCTTCTCAATTTCGTAAACAACACCCGTGGTGCCAGAAGGCAGTGAGTAGGACTTCACTGACAATGATTATATACACGTGGCCATTTGAGAGCATTTCGAGAGGGAAAGTTGACTCTCGGCATTCGGAGGCATCTCTTTCACACACCCCATTTCACCTGCCACTGATCAAATTTAGCCGGTAGCAAACATTTCCCATAGAAATATACTCTAAATTTTTTGTTTGTTTTTTTATTCCATGTCAGAATATTGTTTTATCAGGAGGCAGTTCAATGTTCAAACATCTTGATCGTCGTTTACAACGAGATATTAAACGAAATGTTGATAATCGTTTAAAATTAACAGAAGAACTTACTGGTGGACGAGTTAAGGTAATAGGGTATTCATATTTCAGTGTTTTATTGCTATACTTCACGGACTATTTTTCTATGTTTAGCACTTCCATCATTTAGAATCTCAATGATATATACTTTTCATATCTGCTTCTATTTCCCGACGTATTGTGTTCTTTGGCCTTCCTCTTTTACGCTTCCCTTCAGGATTCGAAGTTAGGACTTGCCTCGGGATGCAGTTTGACGATTCGCGTAATGTATGTCCTATCCACTTCCAACTTCTTTTCTTAATTTCCTTTTCAGTTGGAACCTGGTTTGTCCTCTTACATAGTAGTCTGTTGCTGATGGTATCCGGCGAATGGATGTTGAGTATCTTGCGTAGACAACTATTTGTAAATACTTGTAGCTTGTCTCGTGATATAGTTTGGTGATTTCCGTAATGTATGGCGTATCCATTCCCACCGTCTTTTCCTAATTTTCTCTTTATCTCGAAGCTGGTTTGTTCTTTCCCACAGAAGGCTGTTGCTGATGGTATCTGGTCAATGGATGTTGAGTATCTTGCGTAGACAACCATTTATAAATACTTGTACTTTCTTGATGGTGGTTGTTGTAGTTCTCCAAGTTTCAGCTCCATACAGTCGAACTGTCTTGACGTTCGTATTGAAGATTCTCACTTTGATATTGGTTGACAGGAAGCTCATAGCATTAAATCAATAATCTATTCATATTTGAAACTATTTTCCTTAGAAACCAATTTCGATGAATTACAATGTGGATATTTCTGTATTCTAAAAGATCTAGTTTGACTGATAGAAATTTATCTTCAAAAAAAGTATAAGATTAACTATTACTCAGTGATTAACCAGTTTAAATATTTCGTCAGTCACAGCTTGAATAAATCAATATTAACATCATAAACTATGCAACTCGTTCAAATCCAACTGAAACTACCAGTTCCTTCAAGATTGTAACTATGCCTTGTTAACCATTCAGTCAGTAACAACGTAGAACTTCGTACGTACGTACATCAGTTCGAGTTGCCACACCACATTAGCACAGAGTTTCAGTTGTCGATTCAAATCCCATAGTGGTAGAGGTGGTAAGAGTATAAGCAGTAATCGGAAAGATTAGGGTTTGAAGATGTTATTTAAAGAGTATAATCCAGTGAAATAGATTTGGAAACTTAAGAAAGAGACAAGGAGGATTCAGGAAATTAGGATTTGGGAGAACACAAAGAGTGGATACACCTGCGTACACCATTACAAACGATTTTGAGCCATGTCATTTAAGGTCTATAAACATCGGTTGCTATCATTTCGCGGTCCCCAACCAGGTAGTCTAAAGCTACCAACATGACTCACATGTCCACTTGTCAGTGACTTCATGTAAATATGAATATTATAAACTGAATCCTTGATGATGTGATATCGATATTGTATAGAATTTCAAGGAATTTTAGGCTACTCAACAATCAATATCCATTTCAATGTTGTATGTTTTCATCATTTATGTTAATCCAGTGAAGTAGTAATATTTTTTGATATAGTTCAAAATTAGTTTCTTATTTGTATTTATCATATAAGGATACATTAATTGACAATATCATATTGCTTATTCATTATTTGTTCATCATTATGTAGCCTAAATCTATTGATGTTAAAGTAGTTTCACATCCTATGCAACGTTATGCTGTTTGGTTTGGTGGATCAGTACTGGCTAATGAAGTATGTAGATTGTCGAGTTTTAAATGTTGTGTTTAATTTCTTTCTTTTTTTTTTCCTTTCAATATTTGAAATTGTTTGATTGATATGCACCTAATAAGCTGTGAACACTTCATATTGTTTGGAATATTCAATGCTGCATTTGAAAACAATATGTTTGAAGAATTTACTACACAAATATGTCAGTGATCAATCAGTTGGTATCTATTAGTCATGTAAAGGATTTAGTTGTAGCTCAAATAGGTTGGTAGTGGCAACTCATTTGACTGCAACTTTGTGTGACATGGACTCGAATTCCTTATGGACATCAATCCAATCAAGATTCTGAATACCCGTTGTTGATGGTGAATGGTCTAACTAGCATGAGACCGATCGTCTTCAACTATCTTCTACTCTAAATATAGTATAATTGGTGATTAGATAGTAATTAGTCTTCCATTGTATTCCGTGTTGAGTATATCAAAGTTTAAGACAATTAGTCCCTGTGATAAGTTTAAATAATACAATAAGACGACAAAGTCCAACAATAAATTAATTTCAATGGTTAAGATCATGAGTCAGTTGAAAGCTAAACCACCATGGAAAATCTGGAAGCATTAGACGGCCGTTTTGTCCTAGTATGGGACTCCTCAGTGGTGCACACCCACGATTCCTCACCCCGCGAGATTCGAACTCTGGACTTATCAATCTTGCGCCAAGCGCTTGACCAACTAGACCACTGAGCCGGCATCCAATGGTGTTAATGTCTAACATTAACTAATGCACGAAGTTGAGCGACACATCCACCATTGTTATCAGTGAGTTAATATCTCACAACAGACCCGGTTGAACTCCACTGGTCACTACTTCTCACTAGAACTCTAGGATATACCTTGTGAAGCCAGTCACTAGCGAGCATATCTTAATTAATATCAGATGGGTTTTGCGGATATTAATAAATTAATTCTTTTATTATCCCTAGTTTATACTTGATTAGACAGTGACTATGAAATCTTAGGTATTGCCCTATGCATGTAGTCTTCCTATGTACCGAACGATTTAATATCCAGTGTCATATGATCTACATTGTTTTCTTTATTATCTATGTTTCCCTCCCCCCCCTATCCATCAATTTGTTCAGCTTGACTTTTCAATTTTCGTATATGTATGATCAGATTTGTCGTACTCAAATTATATCACTTAGTTATAACAGACATCTTAGTTTACCAATTGATTTGCTGATTGAAGTTACTAAGTTAAATAAATTAACATTACATTATAGTATTTTTGGCTTCAATTGGTTGGAGTCAATCGAAAAGAGTGATTATTTGATGTTATTTTTCATTCGTTTAATAATTAAATGATTAATATCAGAAGGGATTTTGTGGATAACATAGTCATTTTAATATTTAAAATCATGAGTCAATTAAAGCAAGATCACCATGGAAAACCTGGAAGCACTGGGTGGTCGTTTCGTCCTATCATAGGACTCCTCAGCAGTACACATCCAAGATCCCGCCTCGCATGGGGTCCCACAATAGGACGAAACGGCTGTCCAATGCTTCCAGAATTTCGATGGTGGTCTAGCTCCAATTGACCAATGATCTCGACTATTAAAATTAATTGATTCTCACACAGTTGTCTGGTTATGAGTTACTATCTTCATTTGAACTGTTTTCTTTTTCTAATCAGAGTGAATTTTATAATGTATGCCATACTAAAGCTCAATATGAAGAAATTGGTCCAGCAATATGCCGTCATAATCCTGTATTTGGTACAATGACTTAATCATTGTAACCAATTGCATTGGATTCTATTCTATTTTTTACATGATTTTATTTTGTTGCTATGTCCGTTTTTTTTTTTTGATTTTATGAATAATTTGATGCGTGCATGCGTTCGTGTGTGTGTACCTACATTAAACTGTTGACTTCATTCATTACCCTCAGTTATTCTACTGTTTATCTTGTCTTTCTGTTCAAGTTCATTTTTGCGAACTAACAATTTCGTAACCGAATTTGATCTTTACATTTTTTTTATTTGTATTAAAATGATGAGTTAACTGCTTCTAAATTGTAGAATTTCCTCTTGTGATCGATGAGTTTCATAGAATTTAGTGTATTATTCTGGATAAAGAATCGAAAGCTAGACGAAGTTGATTAAAGTATCATTTGATAAATTTCTAGATTCATTGACAGTTTTAAGTTGTTCTTGTAGTTAAAAATGGGTTTTTCCTCTACAAGATTGAACCTGCTGAAGCTTTATTGTATTAGTGTCGGATATGGTTTCTAATATTTGGAATTGGGTGGAGTCTCAGTTGGTGGATACAGAAGACTGGGCTAGCTGTAGTATATTTTATCTCACTGTATTGTACTGTCGTCCAGTGACTGGGTAATACGTGCTGACGAGCAGTGCTTTTCTTCGGATGAGATATGCGCCTCTCTTGGGACGGATTGAGTAGGGGAGTTACATTTCCTGTAGTCTTTTATTCTGCTAACCATGGCTGGGTCAAAATGCGATGAGACTAAACAAACGAAGTGGTTTGGTGCAGTTGTCAACTTCCTCCGTTCTCACCTGATTTTGTTACTGATATTCCACATTAAGTCTCAGCACATTCCGAACAGTTGCTTGAAAATGATTCTACTCGCTGACCTGTCACGTGGCTAGTGTGTACATGAAGTAACATCTCATTGGGATGGTACAACTTCCACTCTAAACAACTCTATCTATCGTCCCTTAGTGTGTGAGATACACTTCTCTTTAGCTGATGATTCGTAAAGTAACTTGATGCGGGTATTTATGTGTGGCTGGTAAATGAAATGAATGACCCAAGAGTGGATGGATGAACATTTAGCTTGCTGACGATTTAGTGTGCATTCACTGTTACTGATCTCTACTCCGGCCTCGTCACCTGTGGACTGCCTGTCAATTTACTGATTGTGTCACGTAAGTGTTATCATGTGCTTCAGTCTCTGTCTAGCGTTTTGACTCAGTATTTGGGCTATTATATTATTTTGTCACCGTGAATTTGCTGAATGTCTAATGAGATCATGGACAGATCAATGTTGAACCGACATTGAAAGCACCAGACGGTCACTTTGTACAAGAGTGGGGCACCTCATATTTATAAGAGGCCACAAGATTGTATTCTTCATGTCATGGCCTTCAATTCGTTGAAATTACAGTTTTCTTCAGTTCTCTTTCGAAGAACGGGTGGTTTACTAGTTTATTGCGATCTCTGTATACAAACATCGTGGACTGAATGGAGGTGTAAAACCACGTCTTTCGGTTGTTTAGTTCTATTTGTTGAATCTGGGGGGTTGACCCTGCACACGGTTTCTCTGCAGATATGTAATTTATGTTAATCTGATAACATTTGCGATGGAAGTGTGTAGTGGTTGTGTGTGTCTATTACTTGGAGAAACATCCGAGTGTGTGCAAGCGAATTATATTTTCAAAACTTGAGATTATATACAAGTTATACAATGCTTGTTGTCGTGATATTTGTCTGGTTTTAAAAGGTAGATTTCGTACATGACTGACATCTATTTGTCTGTCATGAGATCCAATTGTAATCTAAGAGTATGGTGTTGGTTAAAAAAAAGTAATTTTTGGCATTTTTCGAGACCCACTTGATCGGATATCAGTCTGACAGCAGTTGCATCGATATAGTTCGAATATTGACCAGTTGGTCTAAATCGTATTGATCTCAAGGTAACATCAGGGCATATCATTTACTGGCTGTTGGACGCTAATGCAGCTTACGTTCGTTCGCATGATAAGCAGGGTAGAACGCAACACATCAAGTGAATATTTTGCAGTTACACTTTCACGAGTCAAGTCATTCAATAAATAAAACTGAAATCCTGAACATATCCACAGAACTAAGAAGTAACGCTACCGAGATAAACACCTTATAGGTAGAAGAAAACCATGTGGCTGATCCATGATTAATTAACAAGAACACTATGAATGTAGAATGTAAAACAATAATTTATGCACCATACAGATGCTTACGAGTAGGAAAATACTACCACAAAGTAATCCGAGTATTTACCAGTTATGAGACATGGTTGTAATTGTTATTTTTAGAGCTGAGACTCCTAATATAACACGCATAACTTAAACACTCGAACTCTAAAGCCCTCCAATTTCGCGAATAAGAAGATTGGAGTGAGTTCTTTTTGAGCAAGGATTAAAATGTACGGGGAATCATGGTTACTAGTAAATATTAGCATTTTTTATATCATCATTACAATCCAACCAATCCACAAAAAAGCATATTGTGCTACTCGACAATAGTATCATGCCACGTTAATATTCTGGGAAGCTCCTTTGCGACCAGAATGCAAGGAACTCTTGAGCTCCTCCAAGGCTTCTAGGGGGTTTGTCGTAGTTCTCAGAAACCGTCTCAACAGTAAATTTTTTCTGATCTCTTCTAAAACTGAGATGAATTTTCACAACTGCATTATTCTTAGTGTAACTCCCATTCCTATTTTTAATAACTATCAAGCACTTACAGTTTATACTATACGCTTCTCATGCGAAGTACGTTTTTTGGTGTCCGTTTGCACTAATATTCAGGTGTTCAAATAAATAAATAGCAGCGCTATAGATAAACCTGACAGACCAGTCGTCAAAGTGTAATAAGGCATAATGAGTAAAACTTGTCAACCCCGTGAGTTCAAATCGGCACAACGGAAAGTTTCTAAATCGAGTCGTAGTACACTCAACAAGGCTTGTTCCTGTATGAGATGCTGAAAATCCGATTCGGCTAGGCTCAAAAAACATACTTTGGGTTTGTTCGTAAATACTGGCACTCGCTTCGACGTCGTCGATCTTGATTGTATCAGAAAGGGTTTTATTGAAATTTTTAAAGTTTCAATAGTTCAAATCATGAGTCAATTGAAGCTAGACCAACACGGAAAACCTGGAAGCACTGGAAGACCGTTTCGTCATAGTATGGGACTCATCAGCAGTGCGCATCCACGATCATGCATTCCGCGAGATTTGAACCCAGGACCTTTTGGTCTCGCATGCGAGTGCTTAACCATTAGACCAGTGGGGTTCTGTTGTGAGATATCAAATCACTGAAGACAAGTGTGTATAATGGCGCAACCCCGTGGATTGTTGAAGTTAGACATCGACACCGTTTGAGGCTGGCTCAGTGGTCTAATGGTTGAGCGCTCGCGCGCGAGACTGATAGGTCCTGGGTCCGAATCTCGCAAGGGGTGGGATCGTGGATGCGCAACGCTGAGCAGTCCCGCAATAGAATGAAACGTTTGTCCAGTGCCTCTATGTTTTCCTTTGTATTCTTACCTTCAATTGACTCATGATTTTGATTTTATCTCTCAACATTTGTGGGGCATTTTTTGCGGTGATCAGATGCAGTAATTATCGAATGCATTACAGCTGAAACTGTGGAACATGTTTTCTCTGGATAGTAGATGTCAGATTCTAGTTGTCCTGTATATGTTTCCATAGCATAGAAATTCGATTCTTGTCTACTCTCTCATTTCAACGGAGTTCTCATGATAAACTGGGTCCTAAATGACTGGCTGCCACCCATAAACCGATGATACAGTAGAACGGTTCTATCGGCAATTGTGGGCCTCCTTTACATCCTCTAATGTGTCAATATTTACCGATCAACCTTCACTTATCTTAATAAAAATTCGAAGCCATGTGAAGGTCGATGATGTATTCACTATAGTAGAACTTGTAGCGGCAAAAAATCCCCAAAATAAATAGCTCTGTAAGTTTTCGGCACTGGATGCCGATTACATTAGTTTTAATGGACTCATGTAGCTGAAGGCTCTCGATCATACATCAGCACCAGATCACGAGTAGGAACGCTGTGCTCGAAAGCACCTGCAACAGCTAGCCAGATTAGATCAGACGATTCTCGATATATTGATAGCTTATCAAATATATCTTCAAACATCCTCGCTTCTGTCTTTTTGATTTAACTCAGTGGGTACGATTCATATTATGTATTACTGGTTAAAGTGTTGTCAAACTCCGAATGCCCGTGGCATCTTCAAACGTATTAGTGATAAAATGGTGCAGAAATAACTCGAAGTATTTAACTTACCATTAACCATTATTAACACAGAGTTTTGTATATATTCGTTCTCCTCAAGCTTTGAAGTTACTTGCCTGTAACTTTCAATTATCAGCATCGGTTTTACTTTGTCTTTTCATGGCATTTTGTAATTTTCGCTATAAAGACCCGAAAATTGAGAGCTTGTTTTTAAATTCGTCATAATTATTTCTAAGGCAATATTTCTGTGTTGAACAACTGAGACTCAGTAATTGATTTGAAATTTAGTTTCCTTGTTATCTGGGTTATAAACTACGAATGTATCAATCGACCAGGTTTCAAGTACGGACCAAAGTAAAATTCGAACGTAAAATAAAGTCCTTTGACATCCAGAAGAACTTGGAGTTTACGTATATTTATTACTAGGTTCAGATGTAATACTTACTGTGAGCTATGTGTTCAATTAAGGATGGCTGCTACCGGACTTCAACAAACCGACATTTCGCCCTAAACAGAGTTTGTGTATGATACACACGTCTGAATATTTTGATTCACTACGCTAGCTGCTCATTGTAGTGTATGAAAGAATCTCAAGAGTTATTTTCCATGACTTAAGGTAGCGTACCATTGGGAAAGACAAGAATAGGGATTGCTCTAATATTGAGTGGTTGAAAACTACAAACTGATCTATCGACCTCCCGATCAAAACACTCAAAATAAAAGTGACCATGGAAATCACAGGGCG